CCGGCTTTTTCTTGCATGTGCAGTACTTTCTAAGTTCTTTCTGCCTGTCCCAGGGCAGGCAGCTCTTCTCCGTCCCTCTGCTGGCCCCGCCTCATCCTCTGGTGTCCTCTTCCCTCCTTCTGTGCTCTGCTGTCCCAGTGGGGGTGTGGCTGTGGACAGCATTGGGCTAACTTCTTCCCCTGCTAGTGGCCTGTAATGAAAGAAAGCTTCCTGCTCCCAGGGTCCCTAGATCCAAGCTCATAGACACGCGGTCTCACAGTGGTCCTGGGGCCAGACTCATGTGGGCCCCTTTCCTGGTGTAGTCACTGGCATTGTTATTTGATTATTATAAAGTGGGTTTTCCTGTTACCCTTCCGTGTGGTTGAGCTGGTTGGTGCCTGGAACCAGGCCTGGTGGAAGGTCAGTGCCCATTGCAACAGACACTGGCCGCTGAATCTGAGCCCAGTGGTCATTGGCCCTGCGAGACACAGTGAGGGCAGGGAAGGAAGTGGAGCTGGGGTGAGAAATAGAGGCCCTGTGGTGCCCATGTGCCTGCCGCTGGCCCCAGAGTAGGCTCAGATGACAGAGAACTTCACACCTGCCCAACCCAGGCCCTGCAGTGCCCACGTGCCCCCTGCCGAGCCCCAGACTGCTCCAGAGGGCAGGGAGCTGCACACCTGCCCAACCCAGGCCATGGCTCCAAATGTGTGACAGTTTTGCTGTTGCTTCTTTTAGTAATTGTCAAGTTGATGCTTGTTTTGCAGAGGACCAAGATTTGATGAACGCGTTAGCCTGTGTGAAGTGCTCCACCAGCTTATGGGCATTTCTTTAAAACCATACCTCAGTGTTTTCATTATTCATGTGTTTTGAAAAATAATTGCTTCACTTAGTAGAGTAAAATGAAAAGGTTGCCTATTAGCCCCTTTCCAGTTTGCCCTGAGAACACTCCAGCGTCACCTGTTGCTGCAGTGATTTCTCCTAAGGTCGTTTTGCCGGGAATTACTTCACTGTTATGATTATTTTCGCATCGCTCCAGAATATTGACTTTGGAAACAGAAGACATCATTCTATTTATAGCATTCTGTGTTTAGTAGTGGTATTTCCATTTACAAAATACAGTAATTTTCCATCACTGGAAATGTCAAATCCTGGGAAACACAGCTCTCCTACGGGTGATGGTAACATCGTTCTCGAACTGTTGTTGGCTGAAGATTTGTTTGATGAATCGATTTTTCCAAAATAGACAATTCTGATGATTCAGACAATTCTGATGTTCTGTGTAGAAATAATTCCAAGAGCAGTTTTTATATTTTATTATCACATTGAAAATCAGATTTGCTTCAGCCTTAAAGAGCGTGCTTACGTAAAATTAAATGAGTGCCGGCAGCCAGCTGTACTTTGTTTTTGGGAAAAAGGTTAAATGTCACTGGCTTTTAAATGGCAGTGCTCTGCCTGTGCCATAGCAGGCAGAGGAGAGGACTTTAACTACCTGCGGTTAGGTTTCCTCTCCTGCAGGAGTGTGTGTGAGCCGCTGCCAGGTTTGCTCTCCATCTCGTTTGGACTCGGTTCCGCATGTCCTGGATCTGCATGTCCTGGATCCGTTTTAAGGACTGAGTGATTTCAGGTTGATGGCATCTGGCTTGTGAACCTCTGCTGTTGCTGGCAGTGGCTCTGCCTGTGTTGTGACCTCAGGGCTCCCAGTTCTTCCTGCTTCTCAGCGAGGAGGGAGAGGTGCCAACACCAGCCTGGCTGCCTGACTGCTGCCCCCAAATCTTCACCTGGTGGGGCTCCGTCTCTCAGGCCCTGTGAAGCTTGCCTCAAGGGCCAGGAGCCCCGTGTCATTTAGGGAGAATGCCGGCCAGTGGGCAAGTCATCGGGAAGGACTTGCCCCTCAGCCCGCGGCCTGAGCTCTGACTTCTGGAGCCACCTGTGCCTGTGTGATCATGCCGCTGGGGGATACCTGGCTCCACTTCTGAGGATGCTCCTGCATCTGTGCCTCCTGCCATGTGCGGCTGGTTGCTGTGTTTCCTGCGCCTGCGTGGTGGTCATTTCACAGGACGGGAGCTGGTGTACAGGGTAGATGGCGCCTGTGAGGGGTCAGCCCTGTCCCCGCTGTGGCTCTCATACCACGTGAGTGTGACTGTGCTTGTTCCCAGTTCAGGACCGGAGCTCCTTTCTCCACAGTTATCTTGGGCCTCCCTTTCTCCTTTGCCTGCGGAATTATATACCTAAAAGTTTGTCTTTTTAAAATTTGTCCTCAACCAAGTACCACATGTCACCCCCATCGAGGTGGCAGTTCCCCTGGGCGTAGCTCTGTTTGGAAACGGCCTCACGGCACTTGGAGCCTGAATACACTGCCTGGTGGGGCACCCCACCCTGTGATTACCCAGAGAGTGACCACCATCCCCTTCAGCTTTGCATTCCTGGGCCCTGGGGCTGGAGGTCCCAGCAGAACCAGGCCCAGGACCAGAGGCCAGGTGCCCATACAGGAGTGAAAAGGTCTCCCTGAAAATCTAAAGAAAATGAAGCTCATGAAGTAATGTGATGTTTTCACCTTTGTCTAAGTGAGTTCAAGTTAATCTGAGGACAGAAGGCATCAAGGGCCTGTATGACTTTCCAGTGGCTGCTGTGACAAAGTGCCACACCCTCCATGGCTCAAAGCAACAGAAATGTGTGCTCTCACAGCTCTGAGGCCACAGCTCCACAATCTGCTCTGCTGGCAAAGCCCAGGTATGATAGGACTGAGTTCCTCCCAGAAAACCCCAGGTAGAGTGGGGCCAAGCTCCTTCCTTGGGAGACTCTAGAGGATGGGGCCTCCCTACCTCTTGTGGGTTTTGGGACTCCTAGCTGTCCTTGTCTTGTGGCCACATTACTCTGTTCTCTGCCCCCTTGTCACATGGCCTCTGTCTGTCTCAAGTCTCTCTCTCCTCTGCTCCTACAGGGATGCTTGCCACTGGAGTTAGGGCCAGTCTGGATAATGAAGGATAATCTCATCCCTCAATATTGTGTCTAGTCACATCTGCAAAGACCCTTGTTTCCAATAAAGCCACAGACACAGGTTCCAGGGATTAGGCTGAGAGCATCTTTTTGGAGGTCGCATTCAGCCCACCACAGGGCATCTGGTTTGTAGCATTTCCAAAGGCCAAGGATCTGTTTTCTGTGAGCACCTTTGCTGGTGAAAACAGGTATGGCACTTCTGTTCCATGACACAACCTGGCTCATAATCCACGTGTATTCTTCTTTTGTCTTTTGTGTATTGTGTATTTGTACTTGTATATTTTGTGTTGTCTATGTCTGGATTCCAGTGGCCTTGTGTGCACGCATATGTGCGGGATCTGTGTGGGACCTGAGTGGAGTCTGGGCAGTGACAGTGGTGTGGCTGTTCCCACTGGCATGTCCAGCCACATAAGCAAAGTTTGTTAGGACCCCTGGCCACTGCCGCTGGAGTCTTGTGTCCTCCTTGGCTCCCGGGCCAGCACAAGTTCGCGGATCCCCTGGGCATCTCTTTCTGGTGGATGCTGTGCTCTACCCATCCTTGGCAGGGGGAGGGCTTCCAATCGTCACCAAGAGTGGGACGCATCCTCCTTCCAGGCCACCCCCTCACTGTTACCATGGCTGTGTTTGTGACGCTGCCTGGGTTCATGCCCTCAGGCAGCAGTGTTAAGAGGGATACTCTTGGCTGCCTTAGCCAAGCCCGGGACTGGGAGCAGTGGGCAGCTGCCCCGTCTTAACTTTCGTCACCCCCAAAAGCTACAGCCCTCTCTGTTAGCCGGGGTTGAGGGGAAGCCGCAGGAAGTGGAGCACTGTGTTTGTGGCTCAGTCACCACCTCCTGCTTGGGGGTCGTTTCTTCTGTGCATGGGATACTGAGGCTGCAAGTCCCGGATGGAAGCAGGTGGCTGGCCCTCCTCCTTCTGTGCTGTTCTAGTGTCTGTAGTCTGGGCAGCGCTCTGCAGCACTCACTGGTCAGTGAATCTGTGCTCTTGGGAGTGGAAAGATTCTAACCAGGGATCCCAGTCAGACCTGCTTTGTCTGTACCCCATGGGCCCCTGGCTGACGGTCAGCCTTCCTGGTGATGTATGCTCCACCCACCAGGGCCTTGGTCCAGAGCTCATTGCCTCTGGAGTCCTCTCTGACAAGGTGTCTCTGCTGGACTTTGGAGTCGGGGAAAAAAAATTTGAAAAAAAAAAAAAAAAAGTGGCAAACCGCAAGTCTCATTCCCCACCTGAGTGGGATTTCAGTACTTGCCAAAGACCTGAGTTCAGCTTTAATCCTACTTCTTTTTAAATAAATGGATGAAACTTAGTCATTTTAAAACTCTTTACTCAGTCGAGCCCTGAAACCATGTTTGTGAAAATGACTTTAACGTGATTGTAACCCATGGGTTTCCTTAGTGTCCTCATTCCTTCCATTTGGCCAGCCATGTAGGAGGAGAAGGAAGGAACGATGCCTAGAATTTGACCTGATTGAGTTCCCAGTTTTATGACAGCTGCGTATATGAAATATTTTATTGTAAGCTGGAGCTTTGTGGAGAAAATATGTGCAAATAACCCTCAATTGAATATACATATGCATTCTTTATTGTTTTATCAAGTTTCTGATCAGGAATTCAAAGTACTGTTCCTAGTATTTTTGTGATGGATTTGAGTTGGTGTTGGCAAGGTACAGAGTGTATACAAACCTATGGAAAGATCCTTACGGGAACATGGGGTCATAAAACAGTGCTGGTTTTCAGGGGGGAAGCCATTGCTACCTTGGGCCAGAAAAGGAGACCATGGGTGGGCAGGGTCCTGGTTGGGTTGGTGGGGTCACGTAGCTGAAGACTATCTGTGCTCTACTGTCTGACTGTGGAGGCAACATCCTCCTCCTGCCCCAGTTCCTTTTGTAAAATGCAACTGTCTGTCCCTGCCGCTTGCTACACTGAGCTCTAGTTGAATTTTACATGTGAAAGCACTGTTGATTTCCCCTCTCCAGGTGGCATCTGTGATAACTCATATACTGATGTGCTTTGTTTTAATTCTAGGCAGCCTCGGTCACCTCTCTGTCCAAGCTGGCGTGCATGCACATGGTCCGCTGGGCTGTTTGGAACCCCTTGCTGGAAGCTGATTCTGGAAGGGTGACGCTGCCTCTGCAGGGTGGGATCCAGCCCAACCCCTCACACTGTCTGGTCTATAAGGTCCCCTCAGCCAGCATGAGCTCTGAAGAGGTAAATTGTTAGGTATTTTTTATGCTTCTCCGGTGAGCTTCTAGCAAGTTTATTTGTTTTCAGAAGCAAAAGTTCACAAATATGTTTGCAGATGTTTCATTTACAGAATTTTTTCATGTCATGGGTATGCCTTTAAAAAGATTAATATGATCTTTTTCTGTAAACTTGCTAAGGCCATTTTTATTGTGAGTTTTATCCCTGTTCACATACTTCCTGGGATGACTTGGTAAACCTCCAGCTGACTTGTACACACTCTGCAGCGAGATTCACTTCTGTGCCATGTGCATTTGGTGCATTGGAGCTTGGGCCTCATGTGGCCTTTGCCGGTAGGTTTTTTGGTGGACGAGTGCTGAGGTGGGAGCCAGTTCTGGTTTCCAGCCCTGGCTTATCTTTTTGACTTATCACTAATGCTTCCTGGACCTCAGGTGTGTACAAAGGGTAGGACCACAGCAGAGACTCTCAGGTTTTTAAAAAATTCTGAAATGAAATGTTCTCTGCACCCCAATTTAAGAAGTAAAGAAAAGTAGAGCAGAGTGGGGTTGAAGTGTGTGTGAGGGTCCCACCCCCAGCCTTCTTGGCCCCATTGGTGGCCTTGGAGAATGGTTAGTGGTGACCCAGGGCACCGCAGACGCAGTGCAAAACCCTGCTCTGCAGATGGCTGGAGTCCAGTGGGCTCTCCAGCCAGCGTGAGCTCTGAAGAGGTAAATTGTTAGGTATTTTGTTAGGTAAATTGTTAGGTAATTGTTAGGCAGCATTTCTGCTGGGGTCTGCTGTTTGGCCTTCTCTCACCTGTCTCAAACACGTCCATTTCAGCAGTGCCAAAGGAGCTTTTTAGTACTCAGGTGTCTCATTTTTCTAAGGTAACAGGACTGTGCTGTTATTTCAGTTTGTCAACTCTGTGCTGACTCCAGTGACAGATACTGTGTTCAGTGTTATTTATGATTTGGGTAATGCTTGGGGGACCTGAATAAGAGAACAGCTGATTGTGCAGCTTTTCTTCCTATAAGGAATGTGTCTCCTGATGGGACCATATTTTGCTGCACTCCCACATGGTGTAGTTTGAGCCCTTATTATAAAATTGCTGTTAGAAATCCTGAAGCCGTCACCATCTTTCCCTCCACGCCACTCCCGCATCCTCGCCTCTCTCCTTGTCTCTTCTCTTCTCTCTCCTTGTCTCCACTCCTCTCCTCTCCTCCCACTTGGATAAGTAACATAAATAAATGTTTATTCTGTTTATTTTAGGTCTATCATGGCATCAGATTGCCCTTACTTTTTAAATGTATAAACTATATTGGGGCATGAATGGTTTGAAGGTTTACTATCTTAAGGACACAAATGTATCAAATTTTGCCGTTTTCCACAAGGAGTCCCACTTTCAAATCAGGGTTTTTGACCTCAGCTCTGTTGACATTTGGGCCAGATAACTCTCGGTGTGAGGCCATCCTGTGTGCTAGTGGATGCTGAGCAGTATTCCTGGCCTCTGTTCCCTGGGTTCCAGCAGCATCTCCCCACCTGTGACAGCCCTAAATGCCTACAGACTGTGCCAGATATTTCCTGGGGGCTAAAATTGCCCCGATTGAGGGCCCCTACTCTAAACTGATGTAATTAACTAAAGCAGTGAACTAACCCTGGCCACAAACTTGATTCCCTTTCCTGCCCTGCGAAGGCACTCCTTTGCTTCTGGCGGTGACAGCCCCTCTCAAGTCAGGTCAGTTAGAAGCCTAGGTGTGCCTGTCTCTGCCACTGCATCAGCCTATTCTTTATCTCATTCAGTCATTCATCACTCAGTGAACTTGTATTGAGCACCTACATGTACTCAAAGAAAAAACATCCCTGATCCCATGAGAGTTGAGTAGGAGAGGCAGATGTTAAAGAAAAATATAAGCATAACTAAAAGCCCGTAATTTTTGGGTAGCTAGATTTTAGAGTTTATGTTGTTATTATTTCACTGTAATTTACTATGAAATGATGAAATCATGTATCATAATTGTGTTTCCTTTCTTAACTCCTGCGCTTTTCCTTTGAGGAAATAATTGTTTCCCTCTTTTTTTTTTTTTTTTTTAAAGAAATTGATATCTCCAAAGACAGCCACTTTCAACTCTTAACTGTGACTTACGGTCTTTACCTTTGTTTTCTAAATAATAGCCTTTTACTGCTGTTTCTTAATTTACAATTTCAGACACTATATACTGAATTCTCATAATGACAGATGAGAATTTTAGCTCTTTTGTACATTCCTGCCCATCTTTAAAGCACTCTGTCTTATTACTGCTTGGCCTTGGATTCAGGCACAGTTGCAGGGGGCATATAGCATAGTAGAGCTGGTTGGAGGATGAAGAGGGGGTTCTACTTGCAAAAACTTAGAGAGATCACTGAGGGAGGAGCTGGGGAAGTGGTCCTGTAAGATTGTTAACAAAACCCTGGCTTCACCCCACAACTGCACGTGTGTGGGTCTGACCCTAAATAGATACCGAAGACTTTGACACTGTGGGATTGACAACTTCCCAGTTTCAGAGCTGCCTGCTGGGTGGAGGACATGCGGGAGAAATCTGAAGAACCCTACACAGGTTTTGAAAATGAAACTGACATTGAAACCACAGCCCATAGGATATTGGTCAGAAACTGTCCTGAACGCAATTGAGTCAATTCCTACCTAAATAAAAATACCAGCATTCTTCATAGGATTTAAATGAGACTCAGAGTTTTATGGTGTAATGTTCAAAGTGTCTATGATATGCTCTAAAGTTAATTGTCATACAAAGAACCTAGAAAGTTCAGCTTGTAGAGAGACAGTTGACAGACACCAGCACTGGGATGACACAAATGTTAGAATTATCAGAGAATTTAAAGCAGTCATAATAAAGATGCTCTAGTCAATAAGAACAAACGCTCTGGAAATAAATGGGAAGAAGCAAATGAAAATTTTAGAACTGAAAAATAAAATAACCAAAATAAAAAATCACTAGCTGGCCTAACAGCAGACTGGAGATGACAGAAGTGTCAGTGAACTTGAAGATAAACCAATAGAAATTTATTCACCCTGCGCAAAAGAGAGGAAAATGGTTGGAAGACAAGGGGCAAAGCCTCAGTGTTGACCTGTAGGTCCCTACCAAAAAGACTAGCACCCAGTCCTGGTAGAGGAGACCGTGGTGCAGAAAAAAGCACTTAAAAAATAATGACTGAAAACTTCCCCAATTTGGCAAAAGACATAAACTTGCAGATCCAAGGTCAGCAAACCCCAGGGATAAATGTGAGGAAATCCACACTCAGATAAATCATATACAAGCTGCTGAAAACTAAAGACAAAGGATAAAATTATTAAAAACAGCTGTAGAAAAATGATGTATTACTTACAGAGAAATAATAATTTGAATGACTGTGGATTCCTCATCAGAAACCAGCTGACCTGAAGGAAAGTGGGAGATTTTTAAAGTGCTAACAGAAAGACCTTGGAACTCAGAATTCTGCATCCAGTGTAAAAAAAAAAAAAGTGTGAAATGAGGGCATCTCAGATGAACTAAAAGTAAGTGCAGATAATTTGCTTAAAGAATTGCTAAAAGAATTTCTTCAGAGAAGAAGTGATACCTGGCAGAAATTTGGAGCATCAAGAATGAAGAAAGAACAACAGAAATGCTAAATGTAACATTCTCCTCTTCTTTAATCTACATTGGATGCTTGAAGCAAAAACTGTAACAGTGTGGCTGGGTGCAGTGGGCTTGTAATCCCAGCACTTTGGGAATCTGAGGAGAGCGGATTACCTAAGGTCAAGAGTTCAAGACCAGCTTGGCCAACATGGTGAAATCTCATCTCTATTAAAATACTAAAATTAGCTGGGTGTGGTGGCTGCATGCCTGTAATCCTAGCTACTTGGGAGGCTGAGGCAGGAGAATCACTTGAATCCAGGAGGCGGAGGTTGCATTGAGCTGGGATTGTGCCACTGCACTCCAGCCTGGGCAGCAGAGGAAGACTTTCTGAAAAACAAAACAAAAAACAGTGTCCAGTGAGATTTTAAAGGTATAAAGGCATAGTATTTAGAAAATTACCTAAACTTAATTGATAAAGCAATGGCAAGGTTTGAGAAGATTGACTATGATTTTGAAAGTTCTGCCTATGGTAAAATGCTGTCAAACAGCATCGCATGATACAGGGAACTCCTTTGTGACAGGAAGAGTTACTTGATAGAACAAACTTGCATCGTTGTCTTGTTTTATGAAAGTGCTGCAGCTACCCCAATCCTTCAGCCACTGCTACTCTGATGAGGCAGCAGCCATCAATATCAAGGCACAACCCTCCAACAAAAACCTTACAATGCCCTAGAAGGCTCAGATGATTCTTAGCTTTTTTTTTTTTTTCTTTTGGAGACAAGGTCTCACTCTGTTGCTCTGGGGTAGAATACAGTGGCAGGATCATATCTCACTAGAGCCTTGAACTCCTGGGCTCAACCATCCTCACACCTCAGCATCCTGAGTAGCTAGGACTACAGGCATGTGTTACTATGCCTGGCTAATTTTTCAATTTTTGTAGAGTTGAGGTCTTTGCTGTGTTGCCCAGGATGAACTTGAGCTCCTGGGTTCAAGGGATCCTCCCCAAGTGGATCCTAGAGTGGGTCTCCTAGAGTGTTGGGATTATAGGCATGAGTTGAGTCACCATACCTATAATGGCACAGTTATTGCTGGCCGGGCGCATAAATGTATAAAAAATACTAACAATGGTTAGTATTTTTTAGCAAGAAAGTTGTTTTTTTTTTTTTTTTAAATGAAGTTCTGCTCTATAACCCAGGCTGGAGTGCAGTGGTGCGATCTTGGCTCACTGCAACTCCATATCCCAGGTTCAAGTGATTCTTCTGCCTCAGCCTAAGTAGGTGGGATTACAAGTGCTCCCCACCACACCCAGCTAATTTTTGTACTTTTAGTAGAGAATGGGGTTTTACCATATTGGCTGGGCTGGTCTTGAACTCCTGACCTCAGTGATCCACCTTCCTCTTAAAGTGCTGGAATTAC